CCCGGAGGACCATTTCCCTGGCATCCTAAAACCCAAAGCCCAGAAGGAGGGAGAGAGCTTTGAAGTGACCCTGACTCACAACACTCCTCAGGAAAGCCCTCCAGGCACGGCCCCTCTCCCCAGGACAGCAGGATGGCTCCATGAGGCACAGTCTCTGCCCAGAGGACAGCCCTGCTCTTGCTTTTCTGCCAGGAATGGCTTGTCTTGCAGAGAAATGAGCCAGGGGAAGAATCTCAGAGAGGTACAATAGAGGGAGATTCTTGTTTCCTAGCAGAGGGAATAGCTTGGTCCAAATATGGGGACTCACGATGCTTCACTGTCTGGCTCTGACCCATACCCCCACCTTCCTCTTCACCTTTTATTGCCTGCTGAGCTGACACCCCTCCCCATGCACCAGTTGGATCCACAACTGGGAATTACTGGCACGATTTTCTTAGGCATTTCCTTGGCCCAGAGAGTGTTCTAGACACTTGCCTTCTTGGTCAGGTCCTAACATGAAAGCCTGGGCTGGGAGGTTAAGGAGCTGCTCTGAGCTCCTTCACACCCCTGACTCCCCTCTGCCACTGAACCTTATTCCCCCCTCCCCAAGGTCTGTTCACTCCTTACCTCCCTACCCTCAAATGTGTGCTCTGCCTAGTATCTTGGTTCCTTTCAGGGCAGCCCACGGGCATACAGTAGGGACTCAACAAAGAGCAGTTTACAAACAGGGTAGAGAAGCCAGTCTGTTTAGGGAGCTCCTTTGCTGGAACATTTGAAGCCTGACTTTTTGGAGAGATGTGAGGCTGATCCCAACAGCCCTTTCTGTCTATATTTCTGAGGGAGAAGAAGAGGTGTGGGCAGACAAGGAGAGCATTTGCACACCAGGAAGATAATTACGTGTTCTTGGAAGCAGGTTTAATAGACTGGCTCATTGCAGAGCTGGGACAGGACTCTGAAGCCTGCCGCCTTTTGATGGGACGTGGCTGGAGCTGGGGTTTCACTGTCCAGCTCTAACAAATGGCTGACGCCTTATGGAAACTTTTGAAGGCCCCTGTTTCAGAGCAGTCAGCTTGTACTTGAGCTGATTGGCCTAGCCATCTTTCCCTTCAATTTGGAAGCATAAGAAAGAAGGAAAATAAAACTCAGTGCATGCCTACTATGTGCCAAAAGCCAAGTCAACGATTTCGCTGTCCTAATAGTCTGTGAAAGGGGGGATGGAGATCCACGCAGCCCCTCTGGAAAGAGAAAAGTATGAAGCTTGGCCTCTCAGCTTCCCATTCTGTGCTCTTTCCAGACACAGTGACCTTCTCTTTACAAGGCCATTTTTGCTGTGTGTCTCATCCCTACTCCAAAGCCAAAATTCCCCCATTTGAACAAGATAAACATTCCCAGGGCAAAAGAACACTGTGTTCCCCAGAGGAGCTGTGATCACGTAGTTCCTGTAGAGGCTACTTGGGTTATAAACTAGAACATGGGCTGAGGGCCTGGACCTGAGCTCAGGGGCAGACACCCCAGCCATGTTCCCCAAGGAGTGCACCCACTGGGCAGTCAGAGTAACAGAAGGAGTCCAAGTTGTGGGGAGTGGGCCTAGCTGGACTCTGCAGCAAGCTCTGGTTTTCCAGGGCTTCTGCTGCCTGTGGCCATCACGGGAGTAAGCCTGCCTCAGAAAGTGCAGAGTTAAAGCCATGTGAGAAATGCTGCCTGCTTTGCTTTGCTGGGCCTTGATTCTGCATCTGTCACTGGAAATATTGTCTGCATGGAAGAGGGACCTAAAGATAGAGAAGCAGGTACCTTTTTGGAGATGACTCCAGACAGCACTTCCCTTGGCAAGCCTATTTACATTCGTCCCATAAGTCATTAAATATATATATCAAGGGTATAATATGTGTCTCGTTTTGTGCTGGGCAGCACAAATACAGAAATCCACCATGACATGTGCTCTGTTCTCTCTCTTTTTTTAAAGATGTATTTATTTATGCATGCAAGAACTGGGGTACAGACCACAGGTGTGGGGGTTGGGAGATCCACCAGAGAAAGAGTGGGGAACAGAACAGGCAGATTGACTGAAATACACTGCTGAGGGGAGCAGCGGGCAAGTCAGGAGAGGTCTGCTGCACCATGTGGGTAGCTCTCTGGCCAGGGATAAAAGTCATGCTGCAGTGGCTGCAGATAGCTTCATAGGTTGCATCTTAACCCCTTGTGCCACCAGGGAGGCCCATGTGCTCTGTTCTTAAAGGTTCACAATGCATGCACATATTTTTTATCAAATGAAATACAATGTTTGAAAATCTCATGGTGAGGGCCTCCCCAGTGGCGCAGCGGTTGAGCGCTGGGTTGCGAAGCTGCCCGCAGCCTCTGCGGCGCCAGTTCGATCCCCGGCTGCTCCCCGGCCACCGGAGGAGGGTCCCACATGGCGCGCAGACCTCTCCTGCCGCCCGCTGCTCCCCTCAGCAGTGTACTTCGGTCCTTCTGCCTGCTCTGCTCCCTGCTCTGGCTCTGGTGGATTCTCTCACCCTCCCGTGCTTCTGACTGTACCCAGTGCTTGAATGAATGAATGAATGAATAAATAAATAAATAAATAAATAAATAAATCTTTAAAAAAAAAAAAGAAGAAAATCTCATGGTGAGAAAATAATTCCTGAAGATACCCCACCTGCACACTTGAACCCTATTGCTAACAAAACTCCCTGTTTCCTTGATTGTATGACATGTATTGTTGTCATTTAACATTTCTGAAGTCAGGATAAATCTTACAGTGTTGATGGGCAGCATTTTCTTCTCTCTTGGTGTGATACAAATCAACAATATTTCTTAGTTAATAACATCCTAGGGATCTCCGCTGGTGGCACAGCGGTTGAGCGCTGGGCTGCGAGGCTGCCCGCAGCCTCTGCAGCACCGGTTCGATCCCAGGCCGCCGGCGAGGGTCCCACATGGTGCAGCAGACCTCTCCTGCCGCACCAGCTGCTCCCCTCAGCAGTGTATTTCGGTCCATCTGCCTGTTCTGTTCTCCCCTCTGGCTCTGGTGAATTCTCTCACCCTCCTGCACTTCTGACTGTACCCAGTGCTTGTATAAATAAATAAATAAATCTTTAAAAAATAACAATAATAATGAATAAATAAATAAATAAAAATTTAATAACATCCTAGGTTCAATGATAAACATTCAGAAAAAAAATTATCCTCTTCCGACTAGATTTTTAGTGGCCACTAAATTTACCACAAAGTCTTTCCAGAACATTTCTAGCTCATCCAGATGTCTGGTGTCACACAGCTCAAGTGTCTAAATACCTGATTGCCCCCCACTTTTCATCTGGATGACTTGGGAGGAATCCTCTACCAACAGGCCGGGGTGCTGTTTCACCTGTTGGCCACCAGAGGGAGAAAGCGCACTGGAAAGGAGCAGCTTCTGCTTATCACTTTCCCTCTCTCCTGGCATGCCCCCTCCAGGGCAGTCTGAAATGCTACCTACAGGGTCAAAATCAGGAAAAAGGCCCCCTTCCAGGGCCTGGCAGCATCAGAAAGAGGAATTAGTTGAATCTGAATGAGGCTTGCCGATCCACCCTAAAGATCAGTCATGGTTTAGAGGCGCTCCTCCTTGGCATGGGGACAAGGATTAGACCTGGCAGAGTTTTGTTTCAAAAATGAGGGCTGATGGGTAGCCCCACACCCTCCTCAAACCATTCAAGATTCATGAGACCCATGAAGATTTGTAAAGTTCTCCGAAGAAGTGTTCCCACTCCCCGTAGGCTGCCTGCCTTCTTGCCTCTCTCCTCTCTCCTTCCACCTATTTGTTTATTGAACACCTACTGACTGTCAGCCAGTGCTGGGCCTGCTAATACAGCAGAAAACAGGACAGAGATGGTCATGTCCTCCTGAATCTTAAGTCCAGGTCGGGAGATAGATACAGTACAAATAAATACACAAGTCTGTCACTGCTTGCAAAAAAAAAAATGTTATGAGGATAAATATGGGTCCCATGGAGAATGTGACAGGAGACCATGGTTGGGGGGATCTGGGAAGGTTTCTCTAACAAATGACGATTGAGACAAAGCCTGAAGGAAGAATAGAAACTTCCCACGAAAAGAAGGCCAAGAGGCCTCCAGGCAGACACACCAGCATTTGCAGAGGCCCTGAGGTGGGAAAGTGCTTAACACCTTCTAGGGCTAAAAGGAGGCTGTGGTGAAGTCCAGCCAGGAGAGAGAGGGAGGTACAGGGACAGACTACAGCATAGGTGTGAACTGGGACACACGCATGTTAAAGACATCTTTTGCATCTGTGGCCACTAAAAAAATTAAGCAGGGACTCAACTCGATCGAATTTGAGTGTTAATCTGACAACTCTGATCCCTTTGGAGCATGGTCTGGAGGAAAATCTGAGAAGTGGAGATATTCAATTGTGAATTTTTGGAGAAATTAAGAGACGGTGGCAGCTAACTGAAGACTGTGGACATGAGAGAGAATTACTGGATATGGAGAATGGAGGTGAAAGTAATGTTTGAACCATGACATTTCTGAAGCAGCAGCTAGGAGGAGAGGGGAGTTAGAGGTCAACTGTGAACCACGTAGGTAGGCTCCACAGCAGCGAAGATGAGTTTTTCTTAGATGCCCCCCGACTCAATTGGAAGCTCTGGGTCATCTGTGTGTATGTATCAAGGGGGAAAGGTTGTACAATTAACTCCCACAATTAGAAAGGCTGAGAAAAAGTATTTCAGTGATCGGGGGGGAAATAGGAGGAATCTGTTCTCATCGGGTGGTCAGGGAACTCTTCACAACAGAAATGGACTTTCTTTTGGACTTGGAGAAATGGGGGGTATGTGGGAAGGTAAAGCTTCCCTGTGGGGGGAATGGCCCTGGGCCCCTCAATCTACATGAGCCACTGGGACCGCAGGTCCTGTGTGTTGGGACAGACCCAGCCTTCTGTGGCATCACCGGACTGCAGCCCGGTCCCTCTGGGCCCAGTTCTGACTCACTTGCTCTTTCCCTTCCCTGGTACCACAGATGAGCGCCCGCCCTGCCAAGGAGATGCTCACCACTCACAGCAGCCCTCTGCTGGCGGAGCCTCTTCCCAGCAGATACAAACTCTACAAGGAGTCAGAGCTCACCAGCCCCAGCTGGCCCTCCAGCCCCCAGGACACGCACCCCGCTCTGCCCCTCCTGGAAATGCCTGAAGAAAAGGTGAGGAATGTTCCCCCCAGGTGTTTCCCAGGTAGGGGTGGCGGGTGAGGACTGGGGAGAGATGGTGATGCAAGATGCTGCTTTCCCCACTTCCCAATGCACCTGTTACCTAAAGCCACCGAAGGGCCACTGTCTGGGGAGATGCACCCCCACTCCATTCACAGCATATACTCCCGATGGACCCCCATTGGCCTTAGAAAGAAAATGTGACTCTGGGGATGGTGTGATTTAAGGGTAAGTGGGGAACGCACACACTCACACACACAACAGTCTTCGATCCAGTCTCCCAGCTCTTATCCATTAGACCTGCTCCCCTGAATTGCTCTATAGTATCCAAAAGGAAGGCCCTGGTTCATGTGGGCTTTTAGCATTCCCTGCCCACAGTGGCACAGAGGTAGCCTGGCTGGTGCTATTGACACATTGGAGAGGGACACAGGACTGCTCGGGTTTTTTAAATGAGATATAATTCATATAATAGCACAAAACTCACCTGCTACAAGTGTATATTCCAGTGGGATTAGCATATTAACAAGTCATACAGATATCATCACTCCTTAATTCTGTATTTCAGCCCCTCAAAAAGAAACCCCAAACTTACTAGCAGTCACTCCCTCCCCCCAGAGCCTGGCAACTACCTATGACTTTCTGCCCCCATGGATTCACCTGTCCCATATATTTCCTATGAGTGGAATCCTACCATATGTGGCCTTTTGTGACTGGCTTCTGTCATTTGTTATGTGTTCAGGTTCACCCATAGCTTGAGTCAACGCATTGTTCTTTTTTATGGCCAAATAATAATTCACTGTATTGATATGCCTTATTTTATCTATTTGTTAGTTGAGGACTTGAGGTTGTTTCCACCTTATGGCTATTATAAATAATGCTACTAGGAACATTTGTGTAAGGTTTTGGGTGGACATATGTTCTTATTTCTCTCGGGTATATACCTAGACGTGGAATTGCTAGATCATTGGTAACTCTGTGTTTAATGTAAGTGCCAACTTGTTTTCCAAAATGGCTGCCTACTAGGCATTTCCACAGCCTCGTGAAAACTCTTGTTGTCTGTGTTTCCTACGATAGCCTAGGCGCACCTCAAGCAGCCTCTCATTGTGGTTTGGATTAGCTGTTTTCACTGTCCTCGAGACACTTAAGTTTTTCTACAGGGTGGAGGTGGGAGGAATCTATAGCGTAGCAGTGTACAGTAGAAATACAATGTGAGCTGCATAGGTAAGTTTAAATTTTCTGTTGATCATGTTACTAAAAGTTTTTAAAAGCAACTGAAATTAATTTTAATAATATATTTTATTTGGTTTATTACAGAGAAATCAATTATGTATATATTATTGTTATTTCAGTATGTAACCAATATAAAGTACTACTGAGATATTTAAATTGTCTTTTCATACTAAGTCTCCAATTCCACTTCGCGCGCATCTCAGTCCAGACCAGCCACATTTCAAGTCCTCCGTTGCTGCCTGTCCTGTTGGCTGCTATTTGGACGATGTAGCTTTAGAGCAAGAAGCCCTGAGTGGGACTCCAGGGATAGAAATGAGGGGACATGAACTTGAATGAGGAAAATAATGCCTCTTTATTCTCAATAACCTCCAATGAATTTCAGCATTTATTGCAATTGTGATTATAAGCAATGAACACCAGTCGTGTTAGTAGTGCCTGAGATTTTTGTCATTGTCACACATTTGGTTCCCCAGGAAGTGAACTTTGAGATGGAGATTTGTGAGGATGGAGATCTGGGATGTGTCCTTGGGACCCATTCGTGCAGGGGAGGGTAAAGCCTGCAGGACCATCCCATCAAGGCCTCCGCTCTCCCTGTTGATGGGGATGGCCTAGATAATAGTCCTGAATTTGGATGAGGAGGCCCCACATAGTCACTCACCACCACTTTGAAATCATAATGTGCACGGGATCTGCCACAGCTGTGTGTGAATCACAATTTTTTAAATATTGTGATAATTGCATGTTGTTATAACTCATTTCCTTTGTCATTTTTATTTTTACAAACATAAACATTATCCTGGGGAGAAATCCACAGGCTTCACCAAACTGCCAAACAGGATCCATGGCACATAAGTTAGAAGCCCAGCTCTAGAGAAAGTGTGGTATCCTGGGCGGAGCAGGCCTGGACAGCCTCGGGCAGGGGCATGTGTCTTGCCCCTGGGCCTGTGGTCTTGAATCTTTGTCAAAAACCTGACAACCTTCCCCTCCCCCCAACACCCCTGTTCGCAACAAACTATAATACATTACCTGATGTCTTGTCATGGCTTCTCCTGGAAGGATCTCCGGCCACCCAGTGAAGACAGCCACATTGTGAAAATTGAAAAATCCAGTGACCGGAGTAAAAGGAGAGGAAGTGAGGTGGCCCGTCGGGGCTCAGCCCGCCGGGGAGGCATCAGCCTCTTCCAGGCAGTGGGCTACCTCACGGGCGAGATGAAGGAGTGCAGGAACTGGCTGAAAGGTAGGCAAATGTGGGTGAAGGAGCAGCTGGCCCCTGTCAGGGGCTCAGTTCACTTTCTGGCTTGAACTGAAGAAGTCACCCCCTCACTCACCCGTGGCTCCCATAGTTGGGGTGCTCCAGCTCTGCCTTGACCCTGGGTGGATAGAATCTACCCTCTCAACCTGGAATTCCCAGTTTTGGAATGAAATGTATTGCACTGATTTTGGCTGTTTGCAAATTCTTCATTCTTGCATGGAACCGGTACAGGACAGCCGCGTTAGCCGCCAGGAGCCATTTCCTGAATAAGCTGAACCGTCTTCCTTATTCCACAGTCATGCATTGCATGCCTAGGAGATAGGCGAATCACCCTCCCGCTTGTTCCAGGGTTCTTTCCTTTCCATGTCTTCCTTATCCGAGTTTCCCCAAACTAAATGCTACAACAATGTCCTTCCCCTTGCAGCTCCACTCACCCTGACCTGTGTAGGTTGTTCTGGGAATCAAATGTCCCCTCTTTAGACCCAGCTCTCCTGGGTCCTGACTCAATGCTGAGGGTCACAGCTGAGCAAAAACCAATTCTTTCCCAGTTTCCTTTCTCCAGATACTTTCTTTTCTTCTCGGACACCAGCCCTCCACTGAGTCATAGAGCTCGATACAAAAAGAGTTTCCGTCCACCCCACCCCTTCCCTTGGACCCAGAAATTTCCCTTGGAATGTACCTGGGGATTCCTTGCCAACCAGGCCAATGGCTGGAAGGGTGCTAGGTTGGTCTCAGGCTGTATGTAAAAGGGAAGACTCCTCTGCAGACAGACTGCTGGGAGACCCAGGCTGGTGCCAGGCTGAATGAGGAGAAATGTCCTGCCCCACGTCCCTGTTGCCTTGGTTGCCACGCCAGCCAGTGGTGCAGCCAGAGGTGCAGGCTGAGGCTCTGCCGTCTCTTTCAGACAAGCCGCTGGCCCTCCAGCTGACCGACTGGGTCCTGCGGGGGACAGCTCAGGTGATGTTCGTCAACAACCCTCTGAGCGGGCTTGTCATCTTCATCGGCCTCCTGATCCAGAATCCCTGGTGGACTATCGCCGGGGCACTGGGGGCAGTGGTCTCCACCTTAACTGCCCTCGCCCTGAGCCAGGACAGGTGGGTCCTTCTCTAGGGGGTCTTGGGGTCTTGGGGCAAACAGGTGGAGAGACGTTTCCTTGAATGATCAACCAGCCCTATTCTACCCACCAGCCCAAAGTCTCCTAAGTACCAACTTTGACCAAGTCACTAGAACCCTTTGGGAATTAAATTCCTTCTGTGTCACAGCAAGTGATGGCACCAGGCTCCATTTCACTGTAGAGATTTCTGGAAACACTCCCCTGAGGCAGGTGCTTTTCCCTGGTGGAGCCTACTAGCTAGTGGAGGAAGACAAGGCTAATGGCAAGAAACGTCTCAGGGTACAGCGTATGATGAAGCATTCAGAGAGGCAGACGGCACTAGGTGTTGGGAGATTAAAGTAGCAGCCTTTGCATTAGGAACACTGGATGCAGGAGGGAGGAGAGGCAGGGGAGAGTTGGAGTGGAGGTGAATGGAGAAGGGGAACAAACAGAAGCACTGGGCGGTGCGAGGCAGGCGCCTTCCTACTGGAGATGATGCTCTGGTAACTGCGAAGTTCAAGCAGCAATAAATACCAGCATTTTCTAGCACCATGCCATTTCCTCAGACTTTGTTGGATGTTATTCCAATGGCTCCCAGACTTTCCTCAGGGCCAGCATCAATCATGGGGCACAGGGGTGGGTGAAGATTAAGAAATGTGGCTTCTCAGCTCAAGCTCTCCTCCTCCCTTCCAGAGAGTTCCAGTCAGTGGATCTGAGGGTGTTTGTGGTCAGAATCTTAGGTGGTTCTGGGGGTCAGAGAAGTTTGGGAATGCTCATATTCTTAGTGTTTTTTCAACTTTGGGATCATCAGCCATATGTGGATCATGAATTAACTGCCAACAGCAATTGCCGACTGTGCTAGGTGTGGGGTAACACACACCTGGAGCTGTGATCCTATACCTCTAAGTCTCATGCAGTGTTCTAAACCAACACTACCTGAATGTAAAAAAAAAATAAAATTAATTTTCTAAATTTTAATAGAGTAATTATAATAATCCATATGTAGTAAAAGTAAAATAATTTGTGAAATTTTTGTTACATTCATGTTGGGGTGTGTGTGCATGCATGAGAGAGAGAGAGAGAGAATGAGCTAGGTCATACTGTAAAATACATTCCTTCCAACTGTGGATTACTGTCAAAAAGTTTGAAAAGCTCCACCGTGCCGTGACACGTGTGATTTTTGTCACCACTTCACAAGGCTGACAGTGCAGGTAATGGAGTCCACATTTTGCTAGTGAGAGAAGGGAGCCTCGGGTATGGAAAGCACTCACCTAACAGGCCACCAGCCAGGGCTGGCAGTGCTAGGACACGTGACACTCTGCACCTGACAGTGTGAGATCCCCCAAGCGGCCGAGGGCTTAGACACCCAGGAGACAATGTACATAGTTTAATACTAGATCAGCACAGATAATCAAGTGTGTGCACATGAGTGTGTGTGTGTGTGTGTGTGTGTGTCTGACCCAGTCGTCATTGAGTCAGCTGACTTTTTCTGTGAGTGCCAGGAAGAAGGGGCCTGGTAAGTACCCCCAACCCCAAAGCCAAGGACTGTGTTGCCCGCAGGTCAGCCATCGCTGCAGGACTCCACGGGTACAACGGGATGCTGGTGGGGCTGCTGCTGGCCGCGTTCTCCAAGAAGCTAGACTACTACTGGTGGCTTCTGTTTCCGGTGACCTTTACAGCCATGGCCTGGTGAGGCATCTCGTTCTCTGCTCTCAGCCCCTAGGGGCCCCAGCTGCTTGTGTCTCACACAAAACAGGAATAGGCACCGTCTGGGGCCCAGTGTCTTTATAGTCAGGCCAGTCTGTCTCCCAAGACACCATGAAAACCTGTGAGTTCAGCTGTCGCACAAAAGGTATGTTTTGAACTTAGAATAACAGGGACCCTATAAAGCAGCATAAAACCACCTTTTTTAATTATGCTGATAAGATTCCTTGAATGATAGGCTTAAAATAAAGGTTAACATTTACTGTTTCCTACACATCAGGCACAGTGCTAGGTAGGGTTATCATTGTGCCCGATTTACACAAGAGAAGACCAAGGCAAGAGGTTAAGTGACTTACCCCAGGTGAGGCTCGGCCAAAGTTGTTGACACTGGGGTTCTGAACTCACCCCAAGCTACATGGAGCTCATCTACCTTGTGGCCTAACCAAGATACAGAGGCAGAAAACACAGCTGGTATAGAATCAGAGAACTGTGCTGGAACAAAACGTCTACATTTAAAACAGAGAACCTTTGTATGAGATGCATCAGTTGAGACCTTTGCAAGGAAATAAAAAAGATGTGAAGAACAAGAATCCATTGAGTAAGGGGTGTGCTTGGAAAAGACATGCGTGGTCCTCAGTTCACTGGAATCTGCAGCCCTCTGCAGTGTTATGGGGTGCCAAGGGCGTGCCCACTGTGGGACAGGGGCAGGTAGCCTGGGGTGAACCCGTGTCCCCCACATTCCCAGATGCACTGGCTGATTTCTGACATCTCTAAGAAGTAAATGTCTTTCTTTGATTTCAAGTCTGGAGTTACTAACACCAGATAAAACTGAAAACAAATTAGTTTGGTTTAAGTACGGTCCCATTCATTTTTAGTAGTGCTTAAAATAGATTACTATATTAAGCATTCTGGGCGATTTATATTTCTTCTCAGGGCTTCTGTCATTCTTAATCCATTAAAACAAAGAGCATAAGAGACATTTCTGTGGGGATTTCCTTAACGGACCCACAAGGCCCCGTGTGAGGAGTGGGAAGCTCATCTTCATTTGCTTACATTTAATTTATAGCTGCACAGAATGAAGCTTCCAACACAGCTCCTTAGCCCAGCACACTGGGTGGTTTGTCTGCAGCGCTCCCCACCCCGTTTACACTATAGAAGACAGAGCACCTTGGCACCTCTCTAGGCTGAGCTCTGCACCACTCCTCCAGCAGCTCAGCAATCCTCTTATATACTCTTGACATCCAGTCCAGAGGGAGGGTATTAGAGGTGCTGTTTGCCAGATTTATCCAACAAGCACATTTTTGCTGTGTGCCTGGTGCTATGTGCAGGCACCGTCCCGATGTGGGGTAGTTGTGAACAAGAGACAGTCTCATGCTCTTGGAGCTTACATTCTTCTTGGCAAAGATGGAAAGAAACTCCTAAACTAATTATTAGGAAAGATCATTTCAAGATGTGATAAGTGCTTTTAGGAACAGAAAACAGGACAAATGAGACAGAGAGTGGTTCCAGATGTGGGTGGTCAGGGAAAGCCACTTTGCAGAGGGAACATTCAAGCTGTCATAGGTAAATGAGGATCTGATCACTGAGGAGCTGAGTGAAGACACTGCAGGCAGCGGCAGCCTCTGCAAAGACCCCTGAGCAGAGCAGAGTAATGTGTTCAGGAGACAAGACCAGTGGGAACGAAGACCTAAACAAAGGAGGGTGGCAGGAGGTGAGGGCAGAAGGTGGGCAAGACCCCATATACCATGGATCCAGTAAGCCCTTTGATTCCACTACATCTGTGATGGCAGGCAGCTAAAGGATTGTAAGCAGAGGAGTGATAGGATATGGTTTACTTTAAACAAAAAACTCCGCTTGCAGTATGGAAAATGGATTTTAACTAGAGCAAGACTGGATGCTGACAGCATAGTTAGGAGTCTGCCACAGTAACCCGCAGGGGAATGGGAGTAATGAGGCCATGAGGGTGGTGAAAGGTGGTTTTGCTTGGGGGAAGAAGGTAGAGACAGCAGGACTTGTGAGAGACTGTGAATTATGAGGTAAAGGATAAAAGGTTCGGTGCACTACTGTAATTTGCCTGGGCACCTGACTTGGTGAAAATGACAAAGAGAAAAAAAGGTTGGTGGGGAGATACAGATATGACTCCAGAATGCTCTCTGAGCACATTAAACTTTGGCCTTCCAAAAAGAGATGTGGAAAGGTAACTGGATGTACAAATCTGCAAGTTAGTGATGTAGTCAGGGCTTGGAAGACAGAAGCATGTAGAAGATATTTTGTTCATGAGATTAACAGATAAGAGTAACAGAAAGATAAGATTAAGAGAGAGGAAAGATCCAAAACAGCCACAGGCTCTGCTTAGATGTCTGGCCGAAGAGGAAAGAATCACTGATGGACACTTGAGAAGCGGCTGGAAAAGCGGGAAGAAAGTGAAGTAGCCAGACAGAGTGTTTCAATCCAATTAGAGAACCCAGCCAACAAATGAGGGAGGCAGGGAATGACTGTGGATTTGACAAGATAGATGTCACCAGTGAACTGGACAAGAATAATTTCTGTGGTGTGGTGAGAACATGTGTCTGCTTGGAATAGGATTAGGAAAGAATGGACGTAGAAAAATTGGGATAGCAAGGAGAGACAATAATTTTGAGGAGTATTGCTATGAAGGGGACAGAGAAATAAGGCAATAGCTGGAAGGGGCATCAGGTTAAAGGGGCAGGACTTTTAAAGTTAGAAGATTCTGGAGCGGGCCTCCCCGGTGGTGCAGCGGGTTAAGAACAGCGCCGTGAAGCTGTCCGCAACTGCTGCAGCGTGGGTTCGATTCCTGGCCGGCCAGGATGATTCCCACATGGTGTAGCAGACCTCTCCTGTCGTGCCCACTGCTCCCCTCAGCAGTGCTTTCGGTCCGTCTGCCTGTTCTGCTCCCCACTCTGTCTCTGGTGAATCCTCCCACGCCTCTGGCCTGTACCCCAGCTCTTGTATAAATAAAAAATAAATCTTTAAAAAAAAAGAAGATTCTGTAGCACATTGTATGCTTCTAAGAATGATCCAGAGGAAAGACTGAAGCTGGCAGGGGGGGTTGGGGGGAAGGGGTGCGCAGAGGAAGGGGAGGGGCGGGGAGGGGTAAAGACATTGAGACAGATTGCAGCCTGAAGTATGGGGGTTTGGGGGAAATGGAAAGAGCTGAAAAGGAATGGGGACATTTCTATCACATTAACAAAAAAACGGCAGAGAGGCTGAGTATGTGGGAATGCAGGTAGTCAGAATGCGGATCTCATATTAGAAGAAGTATTTCCCATCTTGCAATTTCTGTTTTCCTAATGAAGTAAAGCAAGGTGGTTAGCTGAAACTAAAGGGAAGCACACAGTAAAGATTTGAGCAGAAAATGCGAAATAGTTGTCTCAGCAAGCTGGAGTGTTAATTGGTTTGGAATGTGCAGTGAGGTTTCATGTAGTCTTAAATGGCCACTTGAGATGAGTGGTCATTAATTAAAGGTAGACCAGTTAGCCAGATCATGTGATTTCCTATTTTTTCCCTAGAGCTCATTGAGTATAGTGAACATAGAGTGTTTGATGTCTAGTGTAGCTGGCCCCTTCCAGGAAAAACTGAATCTAGGGGAGAATAGTTACCTAATGTATGAGTAAGAGTTAAGATTTGCACCCAGCTACATCTGTCTTATGTCCTTTCCAAAGAATAGAGAGGACACATGGCAGTTCCCCAAGTAGCTCATCTTAGCTGAATCCAAGCCTGCATATACTACTTGCCATAGCAACCTCCTCCTAGCAGGTGAGATTTCTAAAAGGTTATCACAGCCCATGACGGCAGCCATCTACATCTTAATGATCCAAAGTTAATGAATGACATGTAAGGATTACATTTTGCTTAGTAAGATGTAAGAAACACAGAAGTATTTATTTTATAAAGTTTTCTATTCAAAACAGATTACAATACTTTTAAAATCAGTTTCTCATAGGAGTAGTCTTAAGTTGAACACCTTATTCCCAATCCCAGACTGGTGGGCTACTAGAGTCTCATGGGAATCAGGGATGGCTGTACCAAGGAGAGGGGATGGTGGGTCAGCATAGTGACCAGAGCTGACGATTGGTGTAGCCCCAGGGATGATCTCAGTGATTGACCCTTTATCTATTCCATCTTCAGCCCGGTTCTTTCTAGTGCCTTGAATTCCATCTTCAGCAAGTGGGACCTCCCTGTCTTCACGTTACCCTTCAACATCGCCGTGACCCTATACCTGGCAGCCACAGGCCACTACAACCTCTTCTTCCCCACAACACTAGTGGAGCCCGTGTCCTCAGTACCCAATATCACCTGGACAGAGATTGAAATGCCCTTGGTAAGTTACCCAATGGCATGAATTGAGACCCCTGATTCCGCCTCAGACCTTGCTTTCTGGATTTGTGGATTACCCAGGCTCTCAGTTTATCTAGATGATTTCCACCAGATGGTGGGTCTTAGTAGGGACAAGGACAGGAAAAGGTCACTGTCATCTCCATATATTCTTTCAACAAACCTTTACTGAAGACCTAATATGTGCCAGCTCTTCTTCAGACATGGGAATACACAGGGAATAAGGGAACAATATCCCTGGCTTTGTGAAGCCTGCACTCTGCACAGGGCAACAGATCATAAACAGGAGGACAGAGACAGACAGAATGGGTGGATTAAGGGGGAAATATTAAATAAGACGGAAGTTGGGCAAAGGGACAAGATGCTAAAGTAAATGTTTTAAATTAGGATTTTTAAAAATTGTCAGTAGAACACAGGGGTGAAAGTTTATGTACTATGCCATTTCAGTGGTTCTGAAACAGGAATAATTTTGCCTCTCCTGGGAACATAAGCCTGAAAACATTTTTTAATTGTCAAGACCAAGGAGCCAAGGGGTGTGCTACTGGCATCTAGTGAGTAGAGATAACACTAAACATCCCAGACCCCTCTCTATAAACAAAGAATTACCCAGTCCAAAATGTCAATGAAAACCTTTCTTTATATCCTATTATGCAAGTGTACATACCATGCACTAGACTGATCTCTAGACATCGGAGAATAACAGAATATAATAAAAATCTAACGTAAAATATATAGATTGTAAAACTGTACTGTAGAATTGCAAAATTTTGGTCATATTTGTGAACATTAAAGTGGCTAACACTAAGATAAGCATAGTCCAGATCAGAAAGTTGTTCCAAACCCTTAACTTATTAACACACTCTCATAATAATCCAATTTTATAAGTACTTTCATTAATTTCATTTCATAGAAGAGAAAACTAAGGCAGAAAGAAGGCTAGTGGCCAAGGTCAAACTGCAGCTAGAGCGTGAGCTTAACACCCAGGCAGCCCAGCTTTGAACCACCACCCGGTGAGGCCAAGGCTGGACAGGCACTGCGTGGAGCAATCTCAGGGCGCTGAGAGCCTTTGCTTCGTAGTGCAGGCTGCTCATCCTTAGTATTTAAATGGTGGAGTGTTCTTCACATTCCTCAGCAGTCCATCTCCCTTTGGTTCCAGGTCTGCTTTCTAGAGTCATTCCCATTATTGGTTCCTTGATTGTCATTTAAATATTTGGAAACATAACCTGTTCTTCAAATATTATTTGTAGAGCTGAATCCTGAGCCTTCACCACCCAGCCGTGTCCATCGTCTAGATGTGCAAAAATCTCTCATGACCCTGTGGAAGGGTGCTCAGCTCCAGGGATGTCCACCACTTGGGTAGAGGGGTGGACAGTAGATCCTCCAGTGAGAACCACACCAGGCCCTAAACCTATGAGACCCCAGTGACAGACACTGCTACTAAGCACCAAACTTTTTTTTTAAGATTTATTTATTTATACAAGAGCCAGGGTACAGGCCAGATGTGTGGGAGGGTAAGAGAATTCACCAAAGACAAAACAGGGAACAGAACAGGCAGACTGACGAAATACACTGCTGAGGGGAGCAGTGGGCAAGACAGGAGAGGTCTGCCACGCCATGTGGGTTGCTCTGTGGCCAGTGGGGATAGAACCAGCACTGCAGAGGCTGTGAACAGCTTCACAGTGCTGCACCCAACCACCTGTGCCACCAGGGAGGTCCACCAAACTCTTTTTAGGTTGTCTTTTTTTGTCTGCAGCTGAGGATGGTGTAGGGTCTAAATCCAAGAAAATGGGAAAGGCAGAGAGAGCCTTGCAAGGAAGGGAAAGCCACCCTCTCAAGTGGAAAATGCTGGGGCAGGAAGCAGGACAAACAAGCTTTGATAGACTCCTTAATAGTCCCTCCTCTGGCAGTGAGGCACACTGCCCTGGGGCATAGACCCACTGTGCCTGAGCCTCCCCAAGAGGCACAGTCCCAGGGATGGTGCAGGGGCTTGAGGAACTGCCAGAGAGACAAGCCCATGAGTCCCCACCCCACCCACACTGCACCCACACTGTACCCACACTGCACCCACACTGCCAGTGAGGACCTGAGTGGAGAAGGCCAGAATCAGGAGATGCTTCTCATTCATTTAATAAGTCATAGGACCCAAATTTAGATATCCAGAGCCCAAGCACAGCCCTGACCTCCTCACCCACCACTGCTGTGACAATGGCTCCTTTTCTTCCACACCATCCACACCTAGTTTTGAAGAATCAATGCCATTTCCCTCTTCCTCTTTAAGACAATGGAGGGAGTGACTTCCTTTTGTTTACCCAGGTTTGTTGATGTCACACGATTGTTTGGAGTACTCAGGAGGCTGGTGCTCAGTAAATTTCCATCCACACCTGACTGCCCTTCACACCAGGGTCTAAGCTGTGGCCTGGAGAACAGTGTGGAGGGGAGAGGTTGCCCTGGGGTCATAGTTCACCAGCTAAACTACAGGATGCCAGGGAGGAGGCTTCTTTCCAAGGCAACTTGTTCCCTCATTCTCTCATTCTTATTGCTTGGGCTTAAAACCCAAGTTTTAAGGGGAAGTGTGTAGAGCATCTCTTGAACAGAACGAAGCCCAAATAGCCTGAGCTTGAGGGTCACTGGTGGTGCTGGAATTGGAGATGGTTCATTTGTCAGTGATGTCAGGTGACTTTTCTGTCCAAGCTGAATTATCTGGATTCCCAAAGTCCTCTGAAGGGAAAATGCTAAGAAGGGAGATTGGTAGCCAGGTAGAGTGCTGCCTGGAATTGAGGGTTGCAGCTTCTGGGGGCTCTGCACAAGCTCACTGTGTGACTGTGGGTGTGTCAGCTCCCCCACTCCAGGCTCTGGGGTTCTCCTCTGTAACAGAAGGAGGCTGCCTTAGCAGTTCTGAATTCTGCAGACTCCTTCTCTACTACCTGGACATATGACTGCTTTCAAGACAGGGCTTCTTTGTGGCTGGATGCATAGTAGGTGCTCAAGAAATATGTAATGATTAGCTTAGTGGTTTCCAAACTTGACTGTACATTGGAATCACCTAGAGATTTTTATTTTTTTAAAAAAAGGGGGGGATATGAAGGCCCCTCCCCAGACATTCTGATAAGTTGGGAAGGGGTGACAGGGGAGTCTATTACACAACAGAGTTTAGCGGCCAATGCATTAGTTATGGGTAATTTGCTATAAAAATGTTGGGAGTTAATTGCATTTCTCCCTTTAGATGAAATTTGTAATTTTTAACAACTCGATTTAATTCTGGAATCTGTCTGATTTTTTTAGAGGATAGTGTTTGAGGTGTCCCCGAGAGTTCCTATGTCTTGCTTACCCTTGTCTCTGATAGCCTAACACCTTTTGGATCAGAGCCCATAGACTTCTGCAAGGAATCACAGGGTGAGGCCCGGTCTTTTTTCAAAGAAGCCTGAAAACTCTCTGTCCAGGGAATTTGGCTTAAGTGTGGAAAATTGGGAGAAATCTCCTCAATAAATATTCCATGTCTTCCCAAAATTTGAGGAATGCAGGATGCTGAGGTAATTCCCACATCCACCTGCCCCCAACTTTTCCAGGACAGAAAGAGGCCACCTGACATCACTGCCAAATGACTCATCTCCAATTCCAGCACCATCCAATGATTCACAAGCTCAGGAATATTTGGGCCTCATTTTGTTCTCCAGATGCTCCACCTCCACACAAAACACCTCTCTGTAAAGCCAGGTGCTCAAGAGCAGGGGAGGTACCTCCTCCTGCTGCTTCCTAGTTCCCATAATCCCCAGAGAACCACTGAAGGTGCAGCAGCAACTGACAGAGGAGTGGTCAGATTCAGAGACTCTAGCCTAGGCTTGGCCATCAGTGAGCTGGGTGGACATGGGTCAATTCATCTATCAAACTCTATCTAACCTAACCTATCTCCACTATTCCTGGACTATTTGTAGGATTTCAGAGCATCTAAAGGAAATCCCATCATGGCCAGAAACCCCAATGACAATCTCAGGTAGAGGTGTCCTCTGCTCCTCTCAAAGTGTTATCGGGCAACCCCGAACATCATTTCCCCCTAACAAAATCTGCTATAGGACAGGGAGAGGGGCAGCCCAAACCCCGCAAACCTGCCTATTCTAAATGGGTTCTGCCATCCGCCGCATCAACACAAAACATAGGAGACTTTAATGGGAAGGAACTTTAATAAAACTAGGAAACAATACAGGTAAGGCAAAGAGTCTAGTTTCTAAATGAAGCACCCAAAGTTACCCATCCCCTCGTGGGTAAAAGTCCATCCATATGGGATCGGCCCAGAGCAAGGCCCCAAAGCCTGCGACAAGTCTAAAGCACCTTCCAGTGGGGACCCACAGAAAAGGGTCAGAAACAACCAGACAAACCCGGAAGGAAAAGAGCAAAATCAACATCAAGATAAAAGCTGCCATTGTCACCTCCCCACGGGTCTCACCTACATCTGTGTCACCCAGTCCACGACCAAAAGACAAGCGCAGTTTCTTCACGTGTCTCTAGGCTCCATGCGCCTCCTCCAGGTCTCCTGGCTCCATCCTGCTCCTTCCTTCCTCAGTCCCTTCTGCCGCTTCTCCTCTTCCTGCTCAGCTCCACCCTCCCTTGGGTGGGGCAGGGAAACTCCCCCTTTCCTGGGGACCACCCTGTTACAAAAGCTCTTCTCAGAGCAGAAGTCCTGTATCCCTCAGGAGCAGCATGTCCATCGTGTGCAAACCCTGTATTGAGGGCCCTACCCGCTTTGCATGAGAAATGCTCAGATGCCCGCTAGGTGGTGGAGTAAGGAACTGTTTATTCCAGCCCTGGAGCTCACATGTTCTCTCACAATGGAGGCACAGCCAGCTTCAGTTCCAGCCCATTAGCCCCCCAGGAATGGCTCAATCCTGGCCCCAAGGCCTGCTCATTATGGGCCCATACTCCAGTGACCTGGATTCTGTTGACTTTTGCAGCTGCTACAGGCCATCCCCGTCGGAGTCAGCCAGGTGTATGGCTGTAACAATCCCTGGACAGGTGGCGTGTTCCTGGTGGCTCTGTTCATCTGCTCACCACTCATCTGCTTGCATGCGGCCATTGGCTCCATTGTGGGGATGCTGGCAGGTAGGACAGGGCCCCTCTCTGCAGGGAGTGCAGAATTTTCCTGAGATCACTTCTCTCCTACAAGTGGCAATATTCTAGACTTGCTATCTTCACTGGCACCCTTGAACACTGTCAGTGACAGGGACTTATTTGTTCCTTTCTTGAGTCTTCAAAGGAAGCAGGTTGCAGAGCAAGCCAGAGCAAGCAGGTTGCAGAGCAAGTAGGGAGCAGCAGTAGCAGATTCAGTTTGGAGTAAGTAAAAGAAAAAACTTGAGAAAAAACTTTCTCAAAAACTGAATTTGAGAATTGCCATTTGACAAATATGTCCACATGTATAGACATGTGTGAACATGCATGTGCACACATTTAATGTGTATATGCAAACAACTCTCAGAAATGGGAACATTTGACTTACTCTGATATTTTTCAAAAACATCATGGAGACAGGAATCCAAAAAAAAATTTAGAAATAATTGCAAACTTTATCAAATTACAAAAAATAAAAATAGTACATGAAGCCCCATAAATTCTTTACCCAGATTCACCTATTGTTCCCTTTGGTGTCTCACTTCGCTACATCTATCTCTATATGTACATAGATCATTTTTCTTAATCACCTAAAGCAGAACTTTTCAACTGAAACCCTTCTTCCTGAAAATGCTGCTCTCCAGTCAAAGAAGTGGAGAGGCCTGGTGTCTACCTCCTCAGCCTCCTGTCACCTGGAAGTAATCACCCTCTGTGTGAAATCTTTGAAAAACAGTTTGGAAATCCCTGGTCTCTTCTCATTCTTGCTTCGCTAAGATGAGATGCCATTTGTAGAGGCTTCTTTGCTGAGTAGAGAAGGGGTTGTGGTTTGGGGGGAATGGCAGGCATGAGGTCACCCTGAGACCTGGCCCCAGATATGAATGTCCTTTGTAATGTGACTTAGAACCAGCCAGAAATGCCTCACTTTGTCCCACAGCCCTGACGGTGGCCACACCCTTCGAGAACATCTACATGGGCCTCTGGAGCTACAACTGCGTCCTGTCCTGCATTGCCATTGGGGGCATGTTCTACGCCCTCACCTGGCAGACCCACCTTCTGGCTCTCGTCTGTGGTGGGTATTCCAAAAGGCTGACAACCAAGTCACCCTGCTACTCCTTCCCCTCCATGATTCAATCACCTTGTGACCTAGTTAGAACTGAGAGGCAGTGATAGAAGAACCTGTGGCCAGGTCCTAATGCTGGGGGAGTTCATGCTGGGGTCCTTATCAGCTGAGCCATGGCAGAGGCTGCTCTTGTCAAATGGAGGCACAAGCACTAGTACTTCTATTGTATTTACCCGGCATTGTGCGGTGTACAGATATTTCTGCACATGCTAGTGGCAGCACTTCTGCTCTCAGTAACTCTTCATTCAGCAGCATTTATAGAGCCATTTACTAAGCACCAAGGCCTACACTAGTCATGGAAGATACAGTGGTGACCACATCCTCATGAAGCAATAGTCTGGCAGATGAGAAATAATTACGTAAATAATTATTAAGACTGTAATGTCTAAAAGGATTGTTGGAAAATTCCAATGGGATCATACACCTGGGAGCTTTGAGGTCTCAGAAAAGCATTATGCAGGGCCTCCCCGGTGGCGCAGCGGTTGGGCCCTGGGTTGCGAAGCTGCCCGCTGCCTCTGCAGCGCCGGTTCGATCCCCGGCTGCTCCCCGGCCACCGGAGGAGGGTCCCACATGGCGCGCAGACCTCTCCTGCTGCCCGTTGCTCCCCTCAGCAGTGTACTTCGGTCCTTCTGCCTGCTCTGCTCCCCGCTCTGGCTCTGGTGAATTCTCTCACCCTCCCGTGCTTCTGACTGTACCCAGTGCTTGTATAAATAAATAAAATAAATCTTTAAAAAAAAAAAAAAAAGAAAAGCATTATGCAGCACTGTGGGAGCTTGGAGAAGGGACTGTCCACTAGACCTTACCAGAGTCACTCCCCAGCACCGCACTCCATGCTGCATTCTGAACTCACTTAGTCCTCCCAAGATCACTGCCAGACATGGGATGTCAGCCCCATTCTACAGGGGAGGAAATGAGCCTTGGAAGGGTTAATGAACTTGCCCTGGGACACAGATGTCAATGACAGAAGTGATGTCAGTGGCAGAAGTCTCTTCTTTGCACCAGCCTTCCTGTCCTGAGGTTACTTTCTCTGGAAACAACAGGACTTTCATAAGCAAAACTAGAGACAAAGGGAAGAATAGCATCCAAAAGATCTTTTATTTTTGTTTTTGTTTTGTTTTGTTTTGCACTATATGGAGACTGCAAATGACTTCCATGTCCCTGTATCCCCCTCAACAGCCAGCCTGAGAGTGGCTGCGGAGGCAGTGGGATCAGTAAATATTTGTCAAGTCAAAAAGTGCCAGATATTTTGAGGTTCAGAATATAACTGCCTTTAGCCAGCAGAGAATTGGCAGATTCCTGTGGCTGGGACCATCTGGGAAGGCTTCAGGGGAAGGCAGGAGCTTATCTCAATACTTTTGGTGTGGGATTTGGATAGGAAATGAGTGGAGAGAAGGTGTACTGGACAGAGAAACAGAAAGAGCAAAAAAAGCACAGATGCAGAAGGAGGTAGTCCAGAGGAACCAGAGGTATGGATGGCTCCCCTAACTGTCCAGCTGCTTGGCTCCTAGGGACTAGCTCAGGAACCCAGTCAGGGCCGACTCCAGTGGGACTCGGTACAGTTCCAGCAGCATCATGGCCACAGGGAGTCTTGGACGGGAGGTACCCTATTGGGAGTTCATATACTCTGACCACTTACCCTCCAGAAAGACAGACATCCAGCCAGGGCTAGACCATCCCCAAGGTCAGTGTGGACAAGCAAAAGGTGCTTGTTTTTTTTTTTTTTTTTTAATAATAAATTTTATTTTTATAATCCCCATACAATTGCAGCCCCCCCATTCTGACCCCAATCCCTCCCCTCCCACCCCCGCCCCCTAAAAGTGTCTCTGGTTCGTAGTTTTTTGTTGATTTTGATTTTCACTTTCTTATAGTTATTCGTTTTCCTGTTCCCTTATTTAAGTTTTCTAGATTCCTGCTATGAGTGAGACCATCCGGTATTTTTCTTTTTCTTTTTGGCTTATTTCGCTGAGCATGATCCCTTCCAGTGCCATCCATGTTGCTGCAAATTGCATGTGTTTATCTTTTTTGAATGCTGAGTAATATTCCATGGTATATATGGACCACATCTTCTTGATCCAGTCATCTATTTTTGGGCATTTGGGTTGTTTCCAAAGCTTAGCTATTGTAAACAGTGCTGCTATAAACATAGGGGTACAGGTGTTCTTTGGAATTGATGTTTCTGTGTCCTTTGGGTAAATACCTAGGAGTGGAATTGCTGGATCATATGGAAGCTCTATGTTTAGTAGGTCCAGAAATCTCCACACAGCTCTCCATAGTGGTTGGACCAGTTTGCACTCCCACCAACAGTGCAGAAGAGTTCCTTTTTCTCCACACCCTCGCCAACATTTGTTGTTGCTAGTTTTTTTAATATGTGCCATTCTCACTGGTGTAAGATGGTATCTCATGGTAGTTTTGATTTGCATTTCCCTGATGACAAGTGATGTTGAACATTTTTTCATATGCCTATTGGCCATTTGCATTTCCTCTTCAGAGAAGTTTCTTTTTAGCTCTTCTGCCCATTTTTTGACTGGATTCTTTTCTTTGTTGTTGTTAAGTCTCATCAGCTCTTTGCAGATTTTTGTGATCAGTCCTTTATCATTAGTGTTGGGTGCAAAAATGTTCTCCCAGTTGGTGGGGTTTCTCTTTGTTTTTGTTATTGTCTCTTTTCCTGTGCAGAAGCTCTTTAATTTGATGTAGTCCCAGCTGTTTATCTTCGCCTTCACTATCATTGCTTTGGGTGATGTGTCTGTAAAGATGTCTTTGATGTGCAAATCACGTAGTGTTTCGCCTATATTTCCTTCTATATATTTTATGGTTTCAGGTCTTATGTCTAGTTCTTTAATCCATTTTGAGTTGATTTTTGTGTATGGTGTGAGGTAGTGGTCAAGCTTCATTCTTTTGCATGTAGCGACCCAGTTTTCCCAGCACCATTTACTGAACAAACTTTCTTTGCTCCAATGCATAGTCTTTGCTCCTTTGTCAAAGATTAGTTGACCATAAATCTGTGGGTTTATTTCTGGATTTTCTATTCGATTCCATTGGTCTGTATGTCTGTTCTTGTTCCAATACCATGCAGTTTTGATGATTATGGCTTTGTAGTAGAGTTTGAAGTCTGGGAGTGTGATGCCTCCATTCCCTTCTTTTTTTTTTAGGAGAGCTTTGGCTATTCGGGGTTTTTTGTGATTCCATATGAATTTCATCAATAATTGTTCTATTTCTTTGAAGAATGACATTGAAATTTTGATTGGAATAGCATTGAATCTGTATATTGCTTTTGGAAGGATGGCCATTTTAATAATGTTTATTCTTCCAATCCATGAGCAGGGGATGTCTTTCCATTTCTTTGTGTCTTCTTCTATTTCTTTTAACAGTGTTTTATAGTTTTCTTTGTATAGGTCCTTTACCTCTTTTGTTAGATTTATTCCCAAATATTTGATTTTTTTTGTTTCAATAAAAAAAGGGATGGTTTTTTTGATTTCTTCTTCTTCAGATTTATTGATTGTGTATAGGAAGGCTACTGACTTTTGCGTGTTGATTTTGTATCCTGCCACTTTACTGAACTGATTGATGAGTTGAATTAGTTTTTCTGTGGACTTTTTGGGGTTCTCTATGTATATTATCATATCATCTGCAAATAGTGATAGTTTGACTTCTTCTTTTCCTATTTGGATTCCTTGGATGTCTTTCTCTTGTCTTATTGCTCTGGCTAGGACTTCCAGTATTATATTGAAAAGCAGTGGTGAGAGTGGACATCCTTGTCTTGTTCCAGATCTTAATGGAATTGCTTTCAGCTTTTCACCATTGAGAATGATACTGGCTGTTGGCTTGTCATAGATGGCCTTTATGATGTTGAGGTATGTTCCTTGTATCCCAAGAATTTCAAGGGCTTTTATCATGAATGGGTGTTGCACTTTGTCGAAAGCTTTCTCAGCATCTATTGATATTATCATATGGTTTTTATATTTCTTTTTGTTGATGTGTTGGATAACGTTGATTGATTTTCGGATGTTAAACCATCCTTGTGTCCCTGGAATGAATCCTACTTGGTCGTGGTGAATTATCTTATGGATGCATTGTTGGATTCTGATAGCTAAAATTTTATTGAGGATTTTTGCATCAGTGTTCATTAGGGAGATTGGCCTGTAGTTTTCCTTTTTTGTGTTGTCCTTGTTTGGTTTTGGTATTAGTGTAATGTTGGCTTCATAGAACGTGTTTGGTATTGTCCCTTCCTTCTCAATTTTTTGGAAGAGTTTGTGAAGGATAGGCACTAATTCATCTCTGAATGTTTGGTAGAATTCATTTGTAAATCCATCAGGTCCCGGGCTTTTGTTTTTGGGGAGGTTTTTGATTACCATTTCAATTTCGCTGCTTGTAATTGGTCTGTTTAGGTGTTCTATTTCTTCTTTATCTAGCTTTGGGTGATTGTAGAGTTGTAGGAATTTGTCCATCTCCTCTAGATTGTTAAACTTGTTTCCATATAACTGTTCATAGTAGTTACTGATTATTCTTTTGATTTCTGCTGTGTCTGTTGTGATTTCTCCTCTTTCATTGATGATCCTGTTTATTTGTGCTTTCTCCCTTTTTTCCTTTGTGAGCCTGGCTAGGGGTTTGTCTATTTTATTGATTTTTTCAAAGAACCAGCTCTTGGTTTCATTGATCTTTTGGATTGTTTTTTTAGTTTCAATTTCATTTATTTCTGCTTTTGTTTTTATTATTTCTTTTCTTCTACTGGTTTTGGGGTTTTTTTGTTGTTCTTTTTCTAGATCTTTGAGCTTCGAGATTAGGTTGTTTCTTTGAGTTCTTTCTTGTTTCTTGATGTGAGCTTCTATTGCTATATATTTTCCTCTTATTACTGCTTTTGCTGCATCCCATACATTTAGGATATTGGTGTCCTCCTTGTCGTTCAATTCAAAGAATTTTTTAATTTCTTCTTTGATCTCCTCATTAGTCCAGTGGTCTTCCAGTAGTGTGGTTTTTAATCTCCATGAGGTAGGAAAGTTCCTTGCCTTCTTTTTATGGTTTATTTCTAGTTTGATGCCTTCATGGTCAGAAAAGATGGTTGATATGATTTCAATCTTGGTGTATCTGTTGATGTTTGTCTTGTGCCCCAGTATGTGATCGATCCTGGAGAATGATCCGTGTGCGCTTGAGAAAAATGTGTACTCCGTTTTTTTGGGGTTTAGTGTTCTATAGATGTCTGTTAAGCCCAATTGCTCTAGGTCCTTATTTAGAGCTTTGGTTTCTTTACTTATTTTTTGTCTTGTTGATCTATCCATTGTTGATAGTGGTGTGTTGAAGTCTCCCACTACGTATGTGTTTTCTCTGATGTCTGTTTTCAGAGAGGATAACAGTTGTCTGATATATTTTGGTGCTCCTTCGTTTGGTGAGTATATGTTAATGAGTGTTATTTCTTCTTGAAGTATTGTCCCCTTGATCATAATGTAGTGACCATTGGGGTCTCTTTTTATCTTTTTGAGTTTGAAATCTGTTTTATCTGATATAAGTATAGCTGTTCCTGCTTTCTTTTTTGGTCCATTTGCTTGTAGGATTGTTTTCCATCCTTTAACTTTGAGCCTATTTTTATCTTTTGTAGCTAAATGTGTTTCCTGGAGACAGTAAAAGGTTGGGTTTTGTTTCTTAATCCAGGCTGCAACTCTGTGTCTTTTTATTGAAGAGTTTAGTCCATTTACATTTAGAGTTAATATTGATATGTTAGCATCTGTATTTGCCATTGTGTTTGTCTTTCCTTTGATTTTATTTATTTATTCTTTTAATAACTTTTTTTTTTTTGGCCTTCTTTCATTGTTATTCGTCCCTCTGAGGTTCTGGCTTTAGGACTCCTTGTAGTATTTTTTGGAGTGGGGGTTTAGTTGCAATGAAATTCCGGAGTTTCTGTTTGTCTGGGAAGGTCCATATTCTTTCTTCAAAGAGAAAGGAGAGCTTTGCGGGATAGAGAATTCTTGGTTGGCATCTGTTTTCTTGGAGTCTGTTGACTATGTCCCTCCATTCTCTCCTTGCCCGTAGTGTTTCTTCGGAGAAGTCTGATGTCAGCCTGATTGGCTTTCCTTTGAATGTTATCTGTTTCTTCCCTCTTGCCAGCTTCATTATTTTTTCCTTGTCCTGGATTCTTGGGAGCTTTACTATTATGTGTCTTGCTGTATTTTTCCTTTCGTCGTGGAAGTTTGGTGTTCTTCTTGCTTCTTGTATATCAATTTTCAGCTCCTTCTTCACATTTGGGAAGTTCTCTTCAATTATCTCTTTGAATATTTTCTCTGTTCCTACATCTCTCTCCTCTCCTTCTGGTATTCCTATAACTCTTATATTTCCTTTCCTCATGGAGTCAGATAGTTCCCGAAGTCTTTCTTCGTTCTTTTTCCTTCATACTTCTCTTTCCTTTTCTGTTTTGGTTCTTTTTATTTCTGTGTCTTCAAGATTACTTATTCGTTCTTCCATTTCATCTATTCTGCTTTCATTGCTTTTCCCAGAATTCTTTAGTTCTTCCATTAATTCTTTGATCTCCTGCATTTCTTTTACTTCCCTCTTTAGGGACTCAATTTCATTCTTCTGACCATTGTTTTCCCTCTCTAGGGACTCAATTGCATTCTTCTGATCGTTGATTATTTTTCCCTTATCATTGTTTTCCTTTATGACTTCTGTCAGTTTTTTAATCACGGCAATTTTAAATTCTCTTTCTGGAAGGCTCAGAAGTTCTTCCAAGTTACTGTCGTTGCAATCTGGGGGCTGCTTTTCTTTTTGTGGTGTGCTTTTTCCCTGGGGAGTTGCTAGGTTGTGTGTGGTTCTTCTCCTCCCTACTGTCTGTTTTCTAATTTGCCGTATGCGTTGGGACACTGTGTTGTTGGGACTGGCCGGCATCTTGGGTGAGCTCCTCTGCTCTCCTCTGGTTCCTCCAGGAGTCATCTGTCAGTTTCAAGCAGTCTTTACTGGAGAAAGGTCCCTGTTCTAAAATGCCGATGTGGGGACACACTCCCCTGTGCACCTGGTCTGCCCCGGCGGTGGGTTCCTGTTCCCCCTCTGGGCTTGGACTGCAGGCCAGAGGGTGTCTGGCGTGGGCGAACTTCCCCCGCTCACCTCTGGCTCCTGAGGAAGCCTTCTGCAGGTAGTCTTTACTGAAGAAATGTCCCTGTTCTAAGATGGTAATGTGGGACACACTCCCTGTGCGTCCGGTCTCAGGCACACTCTTCTGCGCGCCTGGTCTGCCCCGGCTGTGGGTGCTCGCTCCCCCTGTGGGCTCAGACTACTGGTCGGAAGGGGCCCGGCGTGGGCTAACTCCCCAGCTGGCCACTGGCTCCTCTAGGCGCCTCTGCTGGCTTCAAGTCGCTAGGTGGCGCCAGAGATCTCTCCTGGAGCCCTTGGGGAGCTGATTTTCCACCCCGTGGGACAGGGAATAGAGCGGGAATGGTAGGGTAAACCTCAACGGCTTTGGGGTGCTGTGTCTGCCTTGTGCCCCACCATCGTGGGGAACCCACGCCCCTAGTTTCGTGCCCCGGGTGTCAGTTCCAAAGCCCTCAGTTCCAGGACTCAGGCTGTAGCCCAGTTCAGTGGCGCGGGAATGGCGCCTTTTGAATCCCGCTCCCGTGCCTGGGCGCCTGGGCCTGCTCACTCAGTGAGGGCCTCCGCGCGTCTCCCCTCGAGCCTAGGTCGCAGGCGCAGGGACCTGGGCAGTTGCGGTCTGGATCCGCGTTTGCTTTTCAACTGCACTGCTTTTCCGCGCGCGATCCCGATTCCGATCCGCCCTTGGTTTTCCAGCGCGCCGCTGTTCCGCGCAATCCTGTCCGCGCTCCGCGCCTGCTTTTCCAGCGCACCGCCTTTCCGTGCAAGCTTACCGGGCGGCCCGGGGCTGTGTGCTGGTGCTGGTCTCCTCCCCGGGGGCGGGGCCTCTCTTCAATGGTGCCCGGAGCCGTTCGCTCACCTCCTCAGCTCCCGTTCACGGGGTGTGGTGGCTGCAATAGTTCCTTTCCACTCACAGTCCCGCTTGCTGCGTCGTTTCTTCTTGTGGGTCGTTTTGGTTTGTTGTTTTCCTCCTCTCTGCCGGTCGGAGAGTGCCGCCTCTGTGGGCGGGGGAGGGGAGCAGGGTTCTGCGCTTCCCTCCCTTCTAGTCCTCTTTTATGGCCACTTTCTTCTTCTTCGGGTAGTTTGCTGGCGTCACCCGTTTATCTTCCGTGTCCCAGTTCTCACTGGGACCTGCCGCTTTTCCTCCCTATTAACTTTTTTTAATGGGAGATCTTACTCGCAGCGTCTCCTCGCCGCCATGTTGCTCCGCCCCCCTCAAAAGGTGCTTGTTGACCTCTGACTCTAGGCAAGGTTACCTTGGAAGTGGAGAAGGAAATGAGGAGTTTAAATGGATATGTGTCCCTCAGAGAAGACACAGTCTTATGGGAGATGGGCTGCACCCACAAAGATGACAAAGGATGCCAGGCAGACATGCCAGATGTCGGGGTACTAGAGGCCATGGAGACAGTGTGGGACCCTGTCTTGGGGTGGGCTGGAGGGAATCTGGGAGGCTGATTCTCAATCATCCTTGTTCCCCCACAGCCCTATTCTGTGCATACATGGGAGCCGCCCTCTCCAACATAATGTCAGTGGTAAGTTGGATTCTCCTCAACTCTACCCAAAAGTACCCTTCCCCTGCCAGACATCAGGCTCCTTGGAGTTTGATGGACACATCCTGAGTGGGTGAGGGTGGCTACTGCTCCACACAAAGCCCATGCCAAGGTTTCTCCAGGGTTTGTCCAGAAAGCCCTGCCCGCTACATCCTCATGCCTGGTTAAAGGATTCTGATTGTGCCCAAAGGTACCAGCACCTCAAATTCCATGATCACTACTCTGACGTCATAAATCCAGAAAACAGTGCCATCCCTGGGGAGGATCTTCTTCCTCAAACCCTGCCACATCCTTCTTCCCGGGGTTCCTGAATCATTTTCAGCCCAGGGCTTGTATGTCCAGGTCGGTGTGCCACCAGGAACCTGGCCCTTCTGCCTCTCTACTCTCATCTTCCTGCTCCTGACGACCAACAACCCTGCCATCTACAAGCTCCCACTCAGCAAAATCACCTACCCAGAGGCCAACCGTGTCTACTACCTGACGGTGAAAAGCGGTGAAGAGGAGAAGTCCCCCAGCGGTGACTAGCCACGCTCCCGGCAGAAGAGCGCTTAGCCCGGCCCTGGCGTCTGTCCCCTGGGGTCTCAATTCTGGGTCAATCCACTGCAGCGTTCACCTTCCTCGCTTCTGCTTGCACCAAACGCCTGTAACTACCCTTCCCTGTTGCTGATTTTCTCTTTCTGCTCAAACTATCCATGGGGCAACATCAGAGAAGTCTGGTGATGAGCATGCTGGAGAGAGCAGGGAGGCATGTGTTTTAAATGTCATTGACTTAAAACAAGCACATTTATATTTAGTCTTTCGGGAAGGTGATTAAGAAATGATCTTCTTGGCATGTTTAACTAAGCTGGAGATGCTGAGCTTGCTCGGCAGACACAAAGTGGGTGGAAATTCGGGAGACACGTGAAGGAACTGCAGGTGCCGCAGCGCACAGAGCCAGCGGCCGAGGTGCTGGAGGCTTTACAGAAACAGGAGGAATTTCACACTGATGGTTTCAAAGTCAAAGTAGGGACAGGGTTTAGGGTGCTGACATTCTCTGAATGGGGAATTTGAATATTCGGTGGTCAAGGTAAGGGCAAGACAACATTCCATAGCAGGAAGGAATTAATGATTTCGAATCCTAGATAGGACTATTATTATGAAGGATAAGCACTTCTCAGCGTAGGTCAAGCTGTAACTTTAAGCAGAGATTTCAGTTGCTGAAAGTAACTGAGCTCAGTATGTGAAAAGCTGGGGAAATTTATTTCATTTTCCTTTTTGCTTGTGGGTGTTAGAGGTTTCAGGAGGTCTGTGATACTTAGCACAAATGGGTAGCCCTGAACATAGAAAAACTCACTGTTATCCATGAATTTCATCATCTGGCTTCCCAATTATAGTCATTAACTTGCATTCAATCATTGTGTATCGATTTATATAGATCAGGTCTGGCAAGTTTTTTCTGGAAAGCATAAAATAGTAAATATTTTTGCCTCTGGAAGCCATAGTCTTTTATATGTACTGAATTCTGTCATTGTAGCAAAGAACAGCCTTAGACACATGTAAATGAATGAGCCTGGTCGTGTTCCAGTAAGACTTTAACAGCCAGCCAGCTAGATTTGGCCGACAAGCCACAGTTTGCCTGTCCCTTATATAGATGATCAATACAATAGCAAGCCAAACGGGTGATTGACATGATAATAGGGTTTTGTGACCGGAAACAGGACTATCTACTCTGAGACTCCTTCAGCGATTGGACAAACCTAGTGATGTGCCCTAGGGGGTTAGTTATAAACCAGTTATAAACCAGTTATTAACCTTTCACAGAAATGTCTGGGGTCCACTCCTAGACTCACCTGCCTCTCATTCACCCTTTCACTCTGTTGCCCTGTCTGCCAGCATGGAAGTAAGAGAAACTAAGAGACTTGGGTACAAGAGTTTCTAGCTCACAGGGAGATGCATAGAATCTCAGGACTGGAAGGATTCAGGGGATGTGTTCCTGCCATCTATGATTCAGAAACCCCTCCAGATGGAGGATGGGGCTTCCTATCCCTGCAAAGTTTCAGAAGGCCTTCAATTCCCCAGAATGGAGAGGAGACCCCCAAGGTATTCTAACAATAGACAACACAACCAGAAACCCTATCCATTCATTCATTGTGGGCTAATTGCCCTAAGAAAGCCCCTCGCCTCTCCTCTCAGCCCTTGAGCATCTCCATCCAAAGAATCAGATCTGCTGTGTTTTGCCAATTCCCTAGCTTTGGTTAATTTTATTCCACGTATGAGCAAAACCTTTGAATCATTATCTCTCACTTTCTGACTTACAGCAGCATAATCTTAGATTGTGGAAAATATGGAGGTTACCAGAGGGGGCGGGCAGAGAGGGTGAGAGGAGTGGGCAGAGGTGGCGAAGGTATACGGTGGTGGCACTAGAACATTGGTGGTAGGTGGGTTGAGATGTACATACATTGAGGTGTGCAGCTGCACTCCCAAATTACAGTGTTGTACACCAGTGGTAAATCAATAACATTTGATTTGAAAATAATAATAGCAATGAAGAATCTTGGGCAGACATTTCAAAAAGCACACGAGGAATCAGGTTTGAATGAAAATTATTTGGATATGAAAAAGCCTTACACTCAGTTGGACCAGATTATCTTCCCCTTCCTTCTCTTCCCACCCGCTTCATGGTTTGCCATTTATAGGTACCACTTTGGCCACAGGTATCTGTATTTTTTTTCTCCTAAGTTCCCACTTTAGCCCTTACAGAAATGAAAAGCTAACTCTATTACAATCTGCCAGGCTTGCTTGAAGAAAAACAGATAAAGGCTAAGAAAAAAAGGAAAAGAGTATTTTCAGTGAATCTGGAAAAACCACAGTGCCCCCAGCAACTCTCTAATGCACTGTGATGGAGATGCCAGATACATAGATGGGGATAGAAAAACAATCCTCTACTAGTTTGATTTAAGAAAGAACTGCCTAGGTGAAGTTAGTCACTGAATTAGCTTGCCAAGAGAAGTCACGCAAGAGTGATGAAGTTTTTAAAAAACGTCTTTGGGCTAAGAGGCAGAAAATCAATGATATTTCCCAAATGTGGTCAAATGAACTCTCCCAGAGGCAGAACAAACCTCTAAGCCAAGGCTGGAGAACAGATGTTGTGTCTCCCGTGGACAGATGTGCAAATCCCCACCTTCTATGCGAGTCTGCCCAGCACAGGTCACCTGCCCACAGGCGTGCACAGATGTCCAGATGTCCTCTGACCCGGCCCAAATAGTCTTATGGAATGAGAGAGCCCCCTGGGGTGGCTTTGTCCTGCCCTCCCCAGATCTTGCTCATCTCAGTGACCCACTCAATGAGTAGGGGCAAGAGGCCTAAACTTACAGGTTTTCACCACCAACCTGGGGTTACATGGGAATGGGCCACAGGGAGTGAAGAAGAGCATCAGGTCACACCTCCCTGCTGTTTTTCCTGTTACCCCAGACTAGCTGCAGCCCCTCTCCAGTGTACAAATGCTAGCAGAACATAAGCATTTATGGCTGGACATAGAGAAGCAGCCATTAAGGAGCAGGGGTGTGGCGGGGTGGGGGGCAGGGGACTCCAGAGGAGGCATTGCCTTTGGCTCTTCCCATCACACCCTCCCTCCACGTCCCCACTGGACCTCCCCAGGTCTTTTCTCCTGTCCCTCTGATCTCACAACTTCCTCTCTATTCATCTTCTTTCCTACAACATGGAAGAGTTCCACTGTCAGGGAGAAAGAATTTGTCCTGCTGCATTTCTTAATGCTCAATCTTGAATCATCTTTCTAACCTCTATGATAATTGATACAGTCAAGTTTTCTGCTTCTTAATCAAACTAGAATTTGCTAGAAAATAAACTGTTTTCTTTAGCTGCAAAACTGTATAGCCATACTGTTCCTCATAATGCCCTCATACAGTCATCTCTCTTCTATACCTGTGGTTTTGCCCACTTTCTCATTTCTGATCTTACCTAATTTTGCTCTCTTCCCCTTAATCAGGTTTGTGAGGGGTTCATCTATCTTATTGACTTTTTTAAAGAAGCAGCTTGGAATTTATTTGTCCTTTCTATTGTTTGGGTTTATCTTCTATTCTATTGATTTATTTTGCCTGTTTTCTCATGGTTTATATAACAATTTTCTTTTTCTCTGAATGTTTAAAAATTATATGAAGTTCTTTCCTTTTAGATCTTTCTCCTTTAACAGCAAAGATATTTAAGGATATTAATATTCTCCTCAGTACAGCTCCAGCTATGTCTTGTAGGTTTTGGAATAAAATACTTTCATTAGTTTTTAAATAGCTTGTAATTTTAGTTTTCATTTCTCCTTGATCTAGGGATTATTTAAGAATGTGTTTCTTAAATTCTAGCCTTTGGGATCTTTAATATTCTTACACTCTCTATATCTACTTTTGTTGGATTATGAGCAGAGAATATAACTAGCAAAATTTCTATTTTAATATTTTATGAATTTTTCTTTGTAGCCAAGAACTTGATTGATTTTGAACACATAAAATGTAAATTATTTTATTTGAAGGAATGCATATTAAATTGATCTACTAAGTTCATCATTTAATTCTTCTACGTGCATATTTATTTTTTGCCTATGGGGGTCTTACTTCTGAAAAGGAGTTATTAAAAGTCAATTTTAAATGTATAACTTTACTAAATTCTGCATTGCTTAAACAGTCTTATGTCTAGCTGCTACATTGTTTGACACCCACTAACTATAGCTATCATTGATTCTTCATAAATTCTGTCTTTACTGTTACAGACTACTCATTTTATCCTCTTTAGTGCTTTTATCATCATTCCAACTTATCTGACTTGAATGTTGCCACACCTACTTTCTAGTATTTTCTTATTCCATTGTCTTACCTATTATCATTTCCTCTTAACTTTCTTTTAAATCTACTACTTTCCCAACAATCATTATCAAAAGTACATTTCTCTACTATATATAAAAGTAAGATGCCAAATGGTTTACCCTGAAAAGATACTACATTTCTGGAATGTTCCTTCCCCACCACAAGGGACTAAAACCTTAATAATATTTCATCATTCTGCTCTCCATTGCCCCCATCCTCAAAACATTTTTCCTTCTCTAGTATGTTCCACCCCTAGATTTTTCTGAGATGGCTTATCTTCTTAATTTTTTCCCTTGCAATATGCCTCTTCCTTTTGCAAGAATCCTTACTTAACCCCTATAGCACACATTCTCAGTAATTCTTTCATTGTGCACCTGAACTTGATCCTTTACATGGAACCTGTTTCTTATCATCACTGTTTCCTCTATTCTTCACCTTCTATTTTGTGATCTTTATCCTGACTCATTTATTATTTGTTTAGTACTCTTTGTGTATTTTCTTCTAACAAAATATGAGAGATAATAAGTAAAGTATTCTCTGAGGTTTGCATGCCCATAAGCTCCTTTGCCTGACAAGTGAATGGCATTTGGCCAGGGGTAAGCTCCCTGGGCTGCAGCCTTCTCCCTCATTTCTCATAGGTGTTTTCCCTTCATTTTCTGGCTTCCAT